TCTTTTCTCTTCTTTTTCTTTTTTCAGACAGGGTCTCACTATGTTACCCAGGGTTGGCTTCAAACTCACCAGCTCAAATGATATACACGTCTCAGCCTCCCATGTAGATGGGAGGTGCACAGCTTTTAAGAGGGCTGGGTTGACCAGGTAAGCCCAGTTCCTACTTCTCTTCTTCTAAACCTGAGAAGCTCAGGACATTTTATTTTCTGCTTTCATTTGTCGCCACACAACACACTGGTTCACCTCCACATGCCACTCACTTCCACACATACTGCCCACCCACCTCCATGCCCACCCACTCATCTCCACATGCCACGCCCACTCATCACACACCACACCCACTCATCTCACCTCCACACACCACGCCTACTCATCTCCACACGCCATGCTTACTGTTCACATTGCCATGCCCTCACCTCCCCTGATACATCTCACTTTCGTTCATCAGGCACTGTACCCAGTACAAGACCCAGGGGCCGGGACCCTGATGAGGAGGGCCTAAGACAGCCCCTTCCTGCCTTGTTTTTGACCTTTTGAAGGTAATGGGAAACATTTTGCAAAGCATCCTCTCCTGGAATCCCTTCTTTGTTCTTTCCTGAACTAATGATACATGAACATGTTAGCATTGAAAACGGTCAAAGGCAAAATAAAGTAAAACATAAACTTTCCCTCCAGTTCCCCTTGCTGACTACACTAAAGTTTGTATACCTCTACTTCAATTTCATACACAATTCCTGGCCCCTCTTGTTTTTAGTAATAGCTCTGATGCCCTCCCAAACTTCTAAGGAGGGTCAAATTCTAAGATTTACACACGCCTATGGCCAGCCGCCTTCTAAATACCTATAATTTCTCAATCTCAAAATTAAAATGAGGAAAACTAAGTGTACACCATCCATAGATCCATTTGCCTGAGACTAAAGCCACCTCAGTGTTTGCTGAGCTTTCTCAAAGCCTAAAAACAAAACAAAACTTTATGATTCTTCTGTTCCACACAGCACTGGAGGCCTCATCACCCCTCCCTTAGCCGGGGGGCTCCCAGCTCGGCATCTGGAGCTGTGGGCACACAACCTCAACCTAAAATCCCATCCTAGGACTCCTCTGTCCTAAGACAACCACCCCAGTTTGAAACCCGAAACCCAGGTCAGAGACTCTTGAAGCCACTTCCTTCCTCTGGGTTAGAGAAAAGTGATCAGGTTTCAATACCATCCCACGGCCTCACAAAAATCAACGTTCCCTCATCTTTGGGGCAATGGTTTGAAGATTTCACTTCAAAATGAAGCAAGTCACCGATCCTCTTAGATCTTCTGTTAACACGCTTAGGCCCAGGGCCCCTCATTCCCTGCATCCCTGCCTCAGACCTATGAGCACTGTTGTGCCCACCGTCAGTTACCAACCAAACTAGCAGAGTCCTTGGGGCAGAATCAGCCCTCACCCACTTCCTGATACCCTGGCTTTTATCTCACCAATAGCAGCTCTGGTTTTGTGAGCTCAAACCCACACCAAGCAAAGCACAGCAAAACCTGAAGCTGTTTGTTTCTGAGATGTCTCTCTGCCTGCTGTCAAGGGGGAGAGGTGTGTGGGAGGGGCGGGAATGAGGAAATAATGTCTAAAACACTGTGATCTGAGAAAGCAAAAAAAATAATAATTTTTTAAACATACATGGCAACAATGTTCATCGGCATTCCCAGGGGAGACACCAAGAGCCATGTGCAGCAGAGGTTCATGTGCTGCTAGGACAAACACAACACTGGGCACTTTACACAATCACAGTGATCACATGTCTGAGACCAGTGAGGCTCACAGAGGCTAATGAGCGATGAGCAACCTGGGGGACAGAGCTTGGCTTTGAACCCAAGCCCCTGGGCTTCTAATCCCTTTCTACTGTGCCATGATAGACCTGGATAGGCTACTGAATGAGCTGTCCTCTGCCCACCAAGGTGGCTGCCACCCCAGATCCAACAGGGGCCCAATTTTTGTGTGCTTTTAGATTATACTTATTGATAAACCACCATGATGGCCACACCTGCTAAGTAATGATAAAATTAACTCTGGCATGGTTCAACCTCCCACCAGGCAGAGGGAAGACACCCGGTGTAGGAAGAGAGGCAGGTGTGTGTGGAACCTGTTCGTTTCACTAGCTGGAAAAAATTCTCCCCCTCTTGTAAGAATTTGTGTGGCCAAGGAGATAAGCCACATGGGAAAGAAATCAACACTGGGAAGAGGAGTCTCCCACCCACACCAGCAAGAACAGGAGGCCAAGGGGACTGGGAGGTATGTGGGAGCCAAAGCCAGCTGTTCCCTCTGCCTGAGACTGTTCCAAGCTGGTGTGAGCTTCCCACAGACAGCAAGAAGGGCACAACTAGTCAGCCTATTACTCCTCACCCTCAGCTTCTGTCTTTGGAAAGGAATATGTCCAGGATAGGGATGGACACACGGAACAAGTTCGGAGAAGGCTGGGCACATGCAAACACTGATGGAACTATTTAAGTGACAACTGTACACGCAGGATCCTCAGTTTCTATACCAGGCCAGTGGCATGACTTGCTGGCTCTCCTTCCCTCCCTAGCCAGGAAAAGTGGCTTCCAGAGTTTTAAAAAAATATTTGACAAATAGAGTGTATGTATTAAAGGGTAGGATTTGATTTACGTACACCTTATGAGGTGACTACCATAATCATTAAGTAATATCCATCATCACCCATGCTGTACATGACATCCCCAGAACATGTGGTAGTTCTGCTTTGTTTGAAGTGGAGTCTCACTGTATTGCCCAGGCTGTCCTCCAACTCCTAGGCTCACATGATCCCCCCACCTCAGCCTCCTACAGACAGTCGTCACCACGACCGCGGCACGAGTTCATTTTGCAACTGAAGGTTTTGATGTCTCCAGCCCCTGGCAACCACTATTCTACTCTTATTTCTATGAGGCCAACTTTTTTAGATGCCACAGTCAAATGAGACCATGAAGCATTTGTTGTTTTGTGAAGTGACTTCTATCTTTATATTTTGGGGCTAAGTGATTAGAAGGAAAAATTTTAATATAAAAGCAGTATTCCATGTCATTCTTTTTTCAATAGGACTGAAACTAGGGCCCAGCTGATGGCACAGTGTTCCAGAATATCATGGGGACAGCTTCAAACTCGCCAACAGGACAGGCACTGGAGACAGAGGTAGCTGTGCACCTGGTTGCGTTTCCCTCCCTTGTGGCACACAGGATGGAAGAAGGCTAACAGGCCACCACAAGAGAAGCAAGAGGGAGGGTCCCGCCAGCAGCACTGGGCCAAGGACAAGGGCCCCAATCCCGCCCAGCTTCCTACAAGATGTAGAGAGCTGGGCTGGGGTTGTGGCTCAGTTGTAGAGCACTGCCTCATATGTGTCAGGCACTGGGTTCAGTTCTCAGCACCACATTATAAGTAAATGAATAAAATAAAGGTCCACCAACAACTAAAAAAATATATTAAAAGAAAAAAGATGCAGGGCGCTTCACCCTCAGGTGGAAAAGTCACACTATGGGTGATGTGCATATCAACATAAAAAGAATGCATTATATGCCTACTGGATACAGAGTATTAGATGTGGAGACATTTGGCATAAAAGAGGCTAGGCAATCTACTGTGCTTTGTGACTCATTCCTTCACCCATGAAATGGGGACGGAACAATGCCTTCCCTCTGGTCCTCAGATGACCATCATCATCATGTAACATCGTTCATATTTTTAAAAGCACTACATAAAGACAAGGAGTGCCATTTCTGAAGTTTGGGTTTTGAATTCCCAAAGCTGGTTCCTTTCCAGGTAGGTGTCAGCAGCAGTAGCAAGAACCACGGCAGAGGAAGAATGGGAGAATGGAAGAACAGAAGGTAGAAGAGAGGGAGAGAGGAAGGAGGAGTCACAGAGAGAGAAAAGGAGGAAGGGAGGGGAAAAGGGAGGAAAGAAGGAAAAGGAAAAGTTCTCATGTCAAACTATTTCCCTGAAACTTGGATCCCCACTATTATCTTTTTAATAGCACTCCCTATCCCACCCCTTCTTTGAAAACAAATAAACTTTATGATTGCAAACAAAAAAGGAACAGAATAACATAGTGGCAGTGGCAAAGTTCCACAGTTGTACACAGGGTACAATCCTAGCTCTACCAGTTGCTAGCTATGTGATACTGGACCTTGGTTTGTTCATCTCTTAAATGGGAACAATAATGGTACCTAAACCATATGGTTGTTGTATAGAGTAAATGAGAGTAGCTTAGCACACTATAAGTCCTTATGCACTGGGTATCATGACTCTTGCTTTTAACCCTGGCTGGAGGGAAGAGAAGGACAATGATTGGAACGACTCACACAGCAGATACATTTGGGATCCTGATCCTCTATCTCAAGTCAGAGGGCAGCAGAGACAAGTTGGACCTGTGCTTCTTAAACTCCAAAGGAGTCAAGAGACACTTTTTGTTGGCTTTTGCCCCTAATTCAGCCAAGCTGCAGTCCTACTATGCACATGGAGCATGCAGTCTGCGCCCCCCGAACTCCCCACTGCAGTCGGACAACACGCCCCTCGAGTGCTCCGAGGGGTGTGCCACAGGTCACGCAGCCACTGGCCACGCAGCCACATCAGCTGCTATGCTCATGTCTAAGCACTTTCTCCTGCCTTCCGTGACTTCCTCATCATGGGTGGGTAACAGTTTGTGGCCCCATCACTGAACCTTACTTTGAGAGCTCTGATCTGAACTGTCTTCCCTCCCTCTGCAATGCCATTTTACCGAGTAAGAAACGGCCAGTGAATGGGATGCAAGTCTCTTAAAAAATCCCAGAAAACAGCAGAAAATTGAACCCCTAGTGCACATTAGGAACTCTCAGAAATAGGATGGAGGAAAATAATAACATCAGCATAGCCCAGCTGACACTGACCACCTTGGTCGTACAGATCTAGGGAGGCGCGTAACTTAGCACCAGCAGGGAGGTTACAGCTTGCAGCCGGGAGCAGCCCATCTCTTGCGGGGGGGCTTCCCTGACCTTGGGGCGGTCTTCCTTTCTCAGAGCCACCGCTTCCAGTTTGGCTTCGTACTCTGCTTGAACCTGGTCCCTCTTCTTCAATACGCTCTGTAGGAAGAGACAGAGAGGAAAAGCATGTAACACAGAGTCCACAAAGGGACCTCGGACGTCCAAGGCAACAGCTCCTTTACCCCAGCCCTTCCCAAATCAGAGCACCATGTGATGGCCCCATCACACACTGCAGGGTCCAAGTGCTGCAGAGTGGCATGTGGCATGGACTGTGGAGGAAGCAGGGAAGAGGAGGGAAGGAAGGAGAACCAGCCCTAGAGACTGAGCCTTCCAGCAAGATAACCGTGCCTGATGCTAAAAGTGAGATGGTTCCAGGGAAGGGAGAAACATGCCCACCCACTGCTGCACAGACAGGAGGACCCAGCTTTGCCATGTGCAGAGGACCTGGCTCTAGGAAAGGTGGAGTTTCACAGGGAACAATGTGGGACGTTCTCTGAACTCACTGGAAGAGTCTTTACTTTTTTTTTTTAACTAAAAGTTCTTTACTATTATTATTTTAAACATTTAGTTAATTGACAAATCAAAATTTACTGTGTCCCACATGCTATTTTGAAATATGTACACATTATACAATGACTAAATTGAGCTACTTAACTATGCGTTACCTTGCACACTTAATTTTTCTGTGGTGAAAACATTTAAAATCTATTCTCATAGCAATTTTCGAGAATATATTACAGTGAACTATAGTCGTCATGTCATGCAGTACATCTAGGAGAGTTCTTGACTAATTCATTGAGTTGATGCCTGGTGGACTGACTGGTTCATTGATCCATGAGCTGCTTACTTGTCATTGATTCTGGGCCAGGTAGACAAAGAGATGCTACTTAAGGGGTTCAGTCTGAGAGAGACATAGTACTATGTCTATCTGTACTATGCAGACATAGTACAAGGCTGTATTTGGTACAAGAGCTGCATGGGTGCAGGTCCAGAATTCCTAGAGCCATACGGCCAGCCTGCCAGAGTGGGTGGTCACTGGGCCAAAACTAAGCCATCCCTGGATGACACTAAGGTCGGGGAGCCAAGTGCTCAAGGTTCCTAATGTGCACTAGACACTCACTCCTAAGACCCATGCCAATAGAAGGTCAGCACCTAGAGAGGATGTCCTTAATGTGTCCTGGGCTCACTGCCATCGCCTCACCCGGTCTGAGCTCTGCCTCTAAGACCCCACCGACCAAAACAGAAAGGCTTGCAGTAGATATTCTAGAAAAACATCTGTTTTATTAAAGAGTTTCTTATCTTCTTCTTCTGGTAGAATCACAATGGCAAATAAAGAATGAAAAGAACTCTTCTTTCCCACTAACTCAGAAGACAAAAGTTGCTATAAAAGTTTCTGAACATGAAGTTTCCTGGTAGGGACATTCCCACAGGGCATGGAATCAGGAAGGAGGTGTGCCTGAGCTACAAGGTGGGCACTTTGTGTCCCTGATGGTGCTCTCAAAGGTGATGAGTGACTGAAGAGCTGAGAGCGCTCCAGGGCCAACCTTCTGACGGGATGCACCAACACTGGGAACCCCAGGTCTTCCCTGAGGAAGAATTTCCTCTGAGGAATGTCTTCCCATGAGAAGAGCATGAGCTAAAACTGCAGCTGTTTAATCCTCACCTTTCTCCTAAGTGCTCTGATAGCTGCTCCTCACTCTTAGTGACCTTTGAACTGCATTTACAGTGCTGTTCCAGGGGACCTTCTACTATGATGGAAATGGTCCATAAAATGTGCTAATACACTGGTCACTAAGCTCCAGGTGCTTATCAAGCAGTTGACATGTGGCTCATGTGATTAAGAAGCAGGGTTTAAATTTTTATTTAGTTTTACTAATTTGACTTTAGAGTTAATAAGTAGTTATATATGGCTAGTGGTTAGCATATTGGAAGACATAAATCTATAAAGTAAAACTAAAGAAAATAAAGCAGCACCAAAAAAAAAAAAAAAAAAAAAAAAAAAACTAGGATCCTTCACATATCAGAACTAATGAGAACAAATTAAAAAAATCTTTTTAAAAAAAGGATCCTTTCTGGATTTCACAGAGGCCAGAAAATAATCCAAATCTGGGTCTGGCACCAGGGGAGGTAAAAATCATACCCTCGCCCAAGATAAATAAAGACACAGTGCCATCCACAGAGTGCTGGACAGCCAGGGAAGGGGCGGTAGGAATCTTTCCAGCGTATGCATGTCCCTCCCAGGATGCTGCAGAGCTTACTGGAAAAAAGCACACATCATGGGCTGGGGATGTGGCTCAAGCGGTAGCGCGCTGGCCTGGCATGCACAGGACACTGGGTTAGATCCTCAGCACCACATAAAAATAAAAATTAAAAAAAAATAAAGATGTTGTGTCCACCAAAACCTAAAAAATAAATATTAAAAAATTCTCTCTCTTAAAAAAAAAAAAAGAAGAAGAAGAAGCAGCAGCAGCAGCAGCAGCAGCACCACCACCACCACACATCACCAGTCCAGCACTTTGAAGAATGGAGATGAGTTGCTGCAGTGGCATTTGCTGTGCCTGTGTGGCAAGAACCTCAAAGACAATGCCTTGGAATGCGGCCAGCCCAGTGTGGGGCTTTCTACTCCATGTGACCCCATGAGGTTGCCAGGGCCCCTGGGAGAGGGGTGGGGAGATACACCCACCCCACAGAACTAAAACAGTCTAAATGAGTCTCCTCTTGCCACCCCGCAAAGAAGACAAGGGAGCCCTAAGATGCAGCCACATCCCCTTCCCCGAGTCAGCCTGGCCATTCCCCTCAGCCTCTGCTGCCCTGGCCTCCCCTGGAGCAGCCAGAATGCTGCCCTCTTGTGCAGCTGGCAGGAGGATCTTGCTAACATCCCTGTGTCACCTTTCGCCTCTGCAGGGTTCTTGTGGGCCATTATCCCTGCTTTCCAGACAAGGAGGCTTGGTACAGTGACAATGGCAGGGCCTGCTTGAGGCTCCACTGTTGGCTGACAGCACATCAGTGACCTGTCCAGCCTCTTCCTGCTACATTCCAGCTTAGGGTTCCACAACCTGAGCACAACACAGAAAGCCAGGGGACCCGTCTGGAATAGAAACAAGCCATTGGAGATGACTGTCCTTGTGGAGAGATCTCTGGCCACTGTTGGCCAGAGGCCGAGAGGATGGATGGGCTCCCACCCCAAACATGCAGCCTCTGCAGGTAAAACCAGCCAAACCAGCCTGTGACGATCAGATGGCACCCAAGCCTGAAACAGACCACGTCATCTCCACACAGAGGCCCCTCCATCACCAAGGAGCCAGCACAAGATAGGGACAGCTGGGCCTTTCACAGAACTTCATAGGGATCTGGTTCCAACAGACATGACAAATCAAAAAGGTGAAGTGCGGGGACACTTTCCTCCTTATGCCACGTCATCCAGTTCTGACTTAAAGCCTCTTCCCTTGCCTATCCCAGGGCGGGGTTTCAGCAAAGAACACCACACAAAACCCTTTTATGCACAGACCTTCAGGCTAGAGGGAACAAACCAGTAAACAGACAGGGCATGAGGGAGCTCTAGGTGGCTCCAGAGGGAAAAGTCAAACAAGAAAGGAGGGTGTGAAGGGTCTCACACGGAGACAGCAACTTTAGAAATATGGGATAAACTTCTCTTGGTCACTACATTGTTTTTGTTTTGTTTTGAGGGGTAGGGGGGCTGGCACCAGGGATTGAACCCAGAGGTGCTTAACCACTGAGCCATATCCCCAGCCTCATTTTGTTTTTATTTACAGACAGGGTCCTCTAAGTTGCTTAGGGCCTTGCTAAATTACTGAGGCTAGCTTTGAACTCGTGATTCTCCTGCCTAGGCCTCGTGAGCACTGGGATCACAGGCATGCGTGACCATGCCTGTTTTTAAATGCAGAGCCTTTCATCATGATTTTCAGTGTTCCTTTCAAACTAAGACAGGACAAATGACTCAGTTTCTTTAACAAGTGAGTTGAAAAAAGAAGTGGATGGAAAGACATTTTAAAATATGTAAGGAACATCTCAGCCAATGTCTGGATCTTATTTGGATTATGTTTTGGGGCGGGGACTATGAAAGCAGTAGCTGAGACAACGCGAGCACTAACTGGATACATGACCGTAGTAAGAACTGGGTTTTGTTTTCATAGGTGTGATGACAACGTGGTTCTTTTTCTTTAAGGAACAGTTGTATTTTAGAGATACATACTGAATACTTTTGTATGAAATGATATGATGTCTGGGATTTGCTTTAAAATAATCCAGGCAGCAGGGGATGTTTGGAGTGGGTGGAAAGAGAGTCATAAGATGGCTGTGAGTGGCCAACTGGTCAGCTGGCTGGGTACATGTGGGCTTATCAATTTCTGGACCTGTCTGACTTTTTTCTACCACAAAAAAAAAAAAAAAGTCAAAGAATTGGAAACATAGTATCTGTCATCCAAATGTTTACAAAAAACTAATAATAGCTATTAGGAGGCCTGCAACCACGTCATTCAGGACCAATTTATGGCAAAAGCCTTTATTCCACAATGACAACCGTCTGGAACAGTCAGATCACAGACATTTTCTGTGGTTTGGCTCTCAGGGATGCCACTGGATTTTTTTACAGGAAAACAAAACACTACCACAATGGTCAGTATCTACAGGAAAACTTAATATTCCTTCCCCAGAACTCATGCTGTGTCTGCCCCTGGCAAAGCTGTGGGCCCAGAAACCGTGGGAGGGGAAAGAGCAGTCCTCGGATGCCCAGAACAATAGGTGGCAGCTGCCGAGAAGCCTCCTCCATCCCTGAGGTTTTGTTTAAGCTTCCAATCTTTGTGGAAGAGGGACAGCTGGATGCAGGGATGGAGAGTACATGAAGCAACAAGAACAGCTTAGCCGAACCCAACAGCCCTGGTATGCCAAAGACCCAGGAGCAGTGCCTACAGGATGCTGGGTGTTCAAAGAAAGAGGCTCACCTGAGATAAAGCTACAACATCTGTCTCAGGGCAGCCCTCTCAGAGAGTGTCCTCCTGCAGTCAGGAGAACGCATGACTGGTCCGGGCGGACACGCAATTTCTGAATAAATGAATGAGTTCAGGCTGCTCCTGAGACGG